ATGTTTACTAAAAACAATACAATGCCTGGGGGCATTAAGTTCCTGGAAAAGGCCTGCCCACAGAAACCACCCTGACCTCGACCTTGTCCAAAGACTAACCACCTCTTCTGCCACGCCCAGATCAGTTTCTGGGGGCAGAGCAGAACCAGCCAGGGGAGAGGAGAGAGCAGAAGCGTCTCTGGTGGGGGCCTTTCTTAGGAAGTTTTCTTGAACCTTTTTGGGGCCTGCTTAAAGTTTTCTTTACATCGTTGAACAAGTCTCTGTGTTGTCAATCCCCGACACCCTCCGCACGTTCTCGGACACAGGCCGCGCAGCAGACGCGACACTTAGGATTTAATTTATACTAAAATTTAATTTATAATATACTATGTTATAGTGCAATGATATAAGAGTATAATATAATATACTAAATCTAATTTATACTGAAATTCTAGAAAATACAAGCTCAATAGTGGCAGGACACACATCCATAGTTACACGCAGGGGGAAGTACAAGGGAAGGCTAGGACTACTCTAGGACAGGAAGAAATGTCGGGGGGATGTGGGACACTTTCATCATCTTGATTGTGGTGATAAGTTTCATGGTTGTATCCATATGCCAGAATTTAACAGACAACACCCACTAAATTGTTCGACTTACTGTATGTCTATTTTACTTCAATAAAGCTATTAACAAAATAAATAAGGGAGCTTTGTGAACTCAGACTCGATCTGCCTCGGTGGATTCCATCTGTTGGTGGAGACAGAGATAAAGAGCCATAACGCTTCAGAATTTTCACTTTGGGCAGCATCCGAGGGAGGTATGGTATGCGATAGGACAAGCAAATGTCACTAAGCAGGATGGAGGGTTCCGAAGATATTAAAATTTTGCTTTGTACTTAACATGCAAAGCCTCAAAGTCACAGAGTGCTGGAGCCAGGAGGGAGCTGAAGGAGGAAATATAATCAAGTCCCTTTTGCAGATGAGGAAATGCATGCAACAGAGACAAGTGACAGCTTTGTGGAGCCGAAGCTGGGACCTCCAATTCCTGCCCTGCCAACTGCTTCGTTCTGAACCTAAAGCGCAACCGCATCTATGGACAGAAGCAAACCAAGACAGCTGCCATGACTAAATTCTGTATGGCCAGGTAAACAGCCCACAAAGTAGAGGGGGCTGGTGACTGCCCTCTTAGGTAGGACGCCATTTTTTGCACAGCAACACCTTCCTACCCTAAGAGTTGAGGCGATCCGCAGCCTTCTGAGATGTGAAACCTAACAACACAATCAGTTTTGCTGGCCTCCGTCTGGAAAGCACATGTGATTGGTGTATTAGTAAGCAATGTGAGTCTAAAACAAATTATCCTTTGTCCAAGTGAGATCTCAGGGCCAGGACCACTTGGTGAAACTGCCCTTAACTCAACAGAGCTAGCCGGTACATATAAAATGTGCACACATGTATACACACACACACACACACACACACACACACACACACATACACACACACACACACCCTTCATTCTACCACTACCAAGCAGGTGTCCTAACTTAGGTTTCAGGGCTAATAAGAGAAGAAAGTGCCCTTTTCAGGGTCAGGCACCATAACAGCTGTCCTTAGCTGTAGGATATGGGTCCCACGTTCCTCCTGACCTGTACACACTAGGATAGATGGAAGTGGTGGTCAGCCAGAAAAGACATGTGATGGGCTTGACTCAGCAATCTCAGGTGCCGAAAATGGTACGGGTCAGACCATGTTCCATCATTATCCACATCAGGATTTCCAAGGAACCTGAATTGAGTCAAGAGTCTTGAGCTCAACCACATGACCCTCCAAACCAGAATATCTAGGATAGAGCCAAAGAATCAGAAATCCGGTGAGGTTTCAGTGTCCCAGTCCTTGGGCTGAAACCAGTGAACTCCACTCCACCTGAAATACAACAAAAACATGTTATAGAATCTGAAGAGAGGGGAGGGGATAGGGCTCAATGGTTAAGGGTTCCAGAGGACATGAAAGAGCTTGGTTCCTAGCACCCACAACAGGCAGCTCAAGGGTTCTGATGACCTCGTCTGGGTTCGGCAGACACCCCCATGCATATGCATCTTCAGGCACACAGTAAAATAAAAAAAAACATTTTTTAGGAGAACAAGATCATTTCAGAGCTTGATGATGATAAAGCCAAGCTACTTTTGCCTGAAACACGTGGCTCTTACTATTTCATGTACCATTACTGCTTAGTGACAATGGCTTTTGTCCAACGTCAGACATTATTGAGGATTTGTCATGTGTTGACTTACAATGGAGAGTTGGTTAAAAAAAAAAAAAAGGAAAGTGCCAGAGACGGCCTTGATAGATTAGAGAGTGTTGTTCCGTAGCTGGTTCATTAAGTTCGGATCCCATCTGTCTGTCAATATTTTTTCTAGACCTTTGAATTAAATTCTCTGGTGTGTTCTGAAACAAAGATAGAACATCTGTAGCTTCCCAATGAATGATTCTCTCCTCTATCATCCAGCCACGGATTAAATGGCAGGAAGTTCTGCATTTATGTATGATATAGGTTGGGGGTAAAACAGCACTAAAATTGCATAGATATTATGAGGACCTTAAAGGGATAATTATTTTTTCTGGAGCAGACAAGCATTATAATGTGTGTGATACCTTGCAATCATTAGCAAGGGTTTCTGTGACAGTTAACATCTTTCACCTTGGAAAGTGAGCATCTCATTATGCTTCAAGCTACAAGCAAAATACTGAAATTCCTTAAGTCCTTCCTTATCATTCCCAAATACAAATTACAAAATAATTAATGGCAGTACTTAAAATGCTGGGAGGCAAAACGTCAGCTCTGTCTTCAAGTATGCATTTGCCACAGGACACCGTAGTAAAGATGTGTTCTTGAAATTCACTGAACAAAATGGGCACACACGCAAAAGTCTGCAGAATTAAGGTGGAAACAATTAAAGGAAGAGTTACTAAAATGGGATGTCATGTACATCTGTTGGAGAATGGCGCCATTTACTTGAGAACCAGTGTGAGAATCAGCTAAGTGCTGGAAACTTGCATTCTCAGGAGCCATGTTGACAGGACATCCAGCCCACCGTGTCTCTAAGACTTCACTTTACTGAATTCTCCCCATACCATGACTGTCAAGCTGGATAAAGTATACAGTCGATACTTACAACTTAGTTTCAATAAGATCATTTCAGGGGAGAAGGAAAGCACAGACAAAATCTTTATCATTGCTCATACTAAGACGTTCTGTGGGTGCTCATTGGACCATGCTTCAACTTTTTTGCATGTTTGGAAATGTTTGTAACTATTGGAGAGATGGCTGAGGATGAATAGGATGCTTGCCTAGCGTGTGAGACCTGGGGTTGATCCCCATGATTGAAAAGGGAAATGGGGAGAAATGGGCACGCTGGCCATGTTTGTTATCCAGCACTTGAGAAGTGAAGGCAGGAAGTATAATTGTTTTTTAATGGAAAGGAAGCTGAGTTTAACGATCCATACCTTTAATCCCAACACTGGGGAAGCAAAGGCAGGTAGATATGTGTGAGTTCAAGGCTATCCTGATCTACATGACATGTTCCAGGCCAGCTAGGGCTAAACAATGAAACTCTGGAGGGGGAGGGGAACAAAGGCTTTAGACATTAAAAGTGCATAGAGGAATATTTCCAGTCACCCCCGAAACTCCTGAAAACACATCCAAATCTGAGAACATGGTTTAACATGTGATTCCTGTTTTTAACTGCTCAGTACAGCACTCCTCAAAAAATCATGGTGAAGAAGGAACTGAAACCTGCACCTGCCCGGATATCCCCTTAAGGTGCGACTGTATCCTAACAATCAGCAATAGCTTCCTGCCTCTCAGCCTGTGGCTGTGGACTCTTCCTCTTTCTATGGGTAAGTGGGAACTGCATTGTCAGTGCGGATCAAAACAGAGAGAGCACCTTCCTCGGAGTCCGCAGGAGCATCATGTGGAAAAGGCAGGAGATGGTTGCTAAAGAGACTTGGTTCCAGGGTGAAGTCGTACTTATCAAAGTAAATGGCAAGGTGGATTCAGCCATGGAATGGTGCTGGAGAACCAGGGTTCTCTCCTGGAGCAGTCACGGGTGTCGATGTATTCTACCGGTTTGGATCTCTTATCTAAGCTATAATGTTTTCATTTCAAGAGTTTGAAGTAACAGGCTGGTCTCAAATTCCTTTTTCTCCCTCCCTATCATTGGCTTCCAGGTTTCTTCTCCTGTCTGCATTAGTCTTAGCTCTGCCTGTCACATTTGAAAGGGGGCAGGAATCACACTCTCCTGCAAAATAAGGCAGGGCTTCTTGGACCTCACAATTCTCCTGGAGCTGATTGGTAGTATAGTCTTGCTTCCATCTGTAGGTGAATTTCTGTCCCTTTATACCGTTCACCCACAAGCAACCTGCCAGCAACCCAGCCTTGACCTCATGACATCACCAATCAGTAATGTCAGTCCCTCACCACCTAACTAGGAACAATACTCTCACTTTCTCCTTCTTTCATTTCTGTAAGTGCAACAAATACCCATGCTTTGTGTTCTTAATGCTAGTCCTGAAGCTCCCTGACCTACTATCCGGTCCACAGCTGGTCCTCCTCCACACCTGATGTACCATCATAGTTCCACAGCCCAGACTCTTGAGCCGTACTTAGTAAATGCTGGCTTCCATTCTCCTAAAGATGTAAACTTGTATGTCTCCTATAAACAGCTGGACCTACTTATACTGTCTAAAAAATGCCTCTGGCATGGCTCCATGAGTTCCTGATAGCAAGACATTTCCATCTTCCTCCCTGGGAGTGTCTGGTTCCAGACATGCGACAAAATACACGGCCAGAAGGACCCAGCAACATATGTCCCTAAGGCACCTGCAGGATAGCAGGTGCCGTGCCCATCTGCTGCTGCTGCTGCTGTTAGAAGCACTTCATGCTGACGCTGACTCAGCTGGGTTTGAGGGTGAAGTGGATTAATACTATGAGTGTGAACAGTAAACACAGGACACAGGGCTTTTAGGGCAGGGTGTGTGGCACAAGATTTTATTCAGCACCACACCTCAAACACTCAGCAAGCATGCCAAGTTAAGGGCACTCCCTAACCAGTGGCAGGCCATTGTGGGGTTTGCGTGATTCATCCAAGTCTTCGGTTAGAGCCCAACTCTCCTCAGAAGACAGGCAGACTGGAGGCAGGGTCACCGGGGAGAAAGATGAAGCATGAGCCTGAAAGCAGGGAGCTGACAGGTCTCCACTGACTGGCCAGGAGAGTCACCTTGTGCCTTGTCCCTGTTTCCTGTGAAGTTTAGGGACAAGAATGTTTAGCTCTTGTCAGGGAGGCTGTTTGGAGGGCTGCAGATAACTCTGGCTGAGTTCTTCAACACTGAAAGACACCACAGAGTGAACACAAAGGAGACACCAAATCCCAGTGAGCACTTGAACGAAAGGCCCTTCCACAGGAGGACAAAACTACATCATTTTCATATTTCATTAATTCAGGCATAATATAGTAATGGTCTTGTTGAGTTGTCTGATTAACAAGACTATCCTGTAAAATGCCTCTCAACAAAGCACTCAGCTATGTCGCGATGCAGCTATCCCTTAAGTAGGGTCCTGGAGGGGCTTGACAAGTACATGCTGGGGACTGTAATTTCTCATGAACTACATTTGTGGGAGAGTAGGATAGAGAAGCAAATAGGCGTAGAAGATTCCAGCAGACTCCGGCAGGTATCGGATTAAAGTCCACCTGAACAGGACCTTGGAGTGGTGCGTGTGCACTGGCCATTTACTGTAGCTCTGACTCATGGGCCCTCCCCGAACCTGGCAGGAAAGGCAGAACACCAAAGACAAGCATATCTTAACTGGACTCTGGAGAACAGACAGACAATACAGGCCAATCAAATAACATCATGAAGGCTGTAGGGACATTCCTACAATAAGGGACATCACCCCAGACTCATTCAAGGCTCCTGACCAGATTTCCCAAAGCAATCAGAAAAAAGAAAACAGGGGAGAGGCTCTGTCCTTGGAGACATGTTTTTAGACATGTCCTATATGTCACAACTCCCTCCCCCCTCCTCTCTCTCTCCCTCTCTCTCTCTCTCTCTCTCTCTCTCTCTCTCTCTCTCTCTCTCTCTCTCTCTCACACACACACACACACACACACACACACACATCTGTCACTTTGGATCACACCACACCACCAACATGCTCACAATACAGCCTCTAACCTTACCATCTGCTCCTTGGGTCAAACCCAGAGGAATGCTTCCCACATGCTTGGCCTCCAACCTCCAAACAACTGCATAAAAGCAGAGAGTATGCATGGATTATTCCTCTCCCATTGAAAGTCATGATCTTTTTGGAGTTCTAGGCAGATTTGAGCAGTAGAAGCACCAAGGTAAACAAAAAGTAGACACATTTGTAAACTCGTATTCTTTCTTAAGGAACTATTTCCTAGTCAAGTATCTGTGTGTGTGTGTGTGTGTGTGTGTGTGTGTGTGTGTGTGTGTGTGTTGAGGGGCAAAGGAGATGCAGTTCATGGATCTCGAAGAACTAATTAATGTTGCACCTACAACAATGACAAACAGAAGCAAAGGACTATTCAAGCAAGGCATTTCACTTCACTCTAAATTGCTGTCTATATATTTCACTTTCTCCCAATAGGGGACTCTAGAGAGAGGCATGTAGATCAAGGTATGCGGGGGATTTATTTCACTTGTTTGCCAAGTGCTCTGGTGTTACCCAGAGTCTCACTTCTGTGTAGTGTTCCCAGAGCATCGTGACATCACCTTGAGTGTCAACAATGACAAACAACTCTCCTTCCAGGCACCTTGCCAGATTAAGCATGGTAACTCCTGTAAACACAGCAGCTCCCCCCGCCCCACCCTGGTCTTTTCCGGGGATATTTCCCATCCTACTTTTCCAGGTGAGTTAGTGGTGGTGGTGGTGGTGGTGGTGGTGGTGGTGTGTGTGTGTGTGTGTGTGTGTGTGTGTGTGTGTGTGTGTGTATGGTTTAATCAACCAAGGTCAAGCAGTATTAAATGGAAAATTCCAGAAATAAACAATTCTTCCGTTTTTAATGGTGCTGCATTCTGAGTGTTGTTAAGAGATCTCAGTCTGTCATGCGTTGTGCTGGAGGGCATGAATCACCACAGTCCAGTGTGTTCACACTCTCAGCTTTTGCTACCCTGAGTGGTCACGTGGTACCTGCCGTAGTCACGTGGCAGGGTAAGCCAAGCAGCAGCCATGGAAATCTTCAAGTAACCTCAGTCAGTCCCTTTTTTGACTTTTGGTTCTTACATGTTTAGTGGATTCCTAAAAGTTTTATTTACTGTTGAAAATAACTGAGGTGGCCAGTGAGATGGAGGAACGGGACAGGAGGTACTTGCTGTGCAAGCCAGAGAACCTGAGTCCTAGTCACTAAAGCCATGGAAGAGTGGCCTGGTTTGTTTCCCAGCAGAGGGACTGACACAAAGTAGCTCACAAGTATGATAATTCTTTCCCGTGGAAGGAGGTGTCAGTGGGTGGCGGAGTTGGGACTGGATTTGTTTTTACTTGATAAAAGTTCATTACAATTTTATTTCAATACTTTGGGTCTTCATCCTCTATACTAATGAGCTATGATTTGCATTGGGCTCCCTTGGTTTCTTTGTTTGGTTTTTCTGTTTTGTTATTCTCAAGACAGGGTATAGCTGTCCTAGGACTCACTCGGTAGATCAGGCTGGCCTGGAACTCAGAGATCCTCCTGATTCTGCCTTCAGAGCGTAGGGATTAAAGGCATGTGATACTACTGCCCTGGCTTTTTGTTTTGTTTTGTTGGGCTGGGGGAGGGAGTGTTTTTTTCAGAGAGGACAGGATCACTCTGGCCTAGTGTTGGGGAAGTCTTATGTCAATAAAGCACTGTTGAGCCAATAGGAATCTAGATAGGTGGGACTAAGAGTCCAGGAGGACTCTGGGAAGGAGAAACACAAGAGAGTTCGAGATGTAACCGCCATGGGGTAGGAAGCCCGGAACTATTCTCCGGTAAGAGAAATACTTAGGTTAACAATTATGGGGTAATTACTTAAGTTAGAGCAAGCCAGTAAGAAACAAGCAAGGCCAACAGCTTCATAATTAATATAGCCTCCTGTGTGTTTATTTGGGACTGATGTGGCTCTAGAACCAGGCTGGCGGGAAGGCTTCTTCTCAAAGAAAAGGCTTCTCTTTACAGCCTAGAACTCCATATGTTGAGGATGACATGGAGTTAGGACGGTCCTCTACCTCTCCCTGCAGCACCAAGACAAATTATGTTTTAAGTCTTGATAAATAACTTTAGATTATTTCATAAAGAATAAAACACTTTTTAAATATGTTGAACTAAGCATAGTGGCACATGCTTACCAAGACCATTAGCTGCATAGTGAGTTCGAGGCCAGCCTTGGGATACAAGAGGGCCTGGGAGGGTGGGGAAGAAAGGGAGAACTGAAGGACTGCATCATGGTTTCCACAGAGACAGGGACAAGAAACTGCACAAGTGGGCATTTCAGGGGCACTTCTTTCCTTGCCTGGGAGACCTCAGACTTTGCTCTCATTCACATTATCACGTTACCAAGGAGATGGACTTTAAAGACAGCCTGGTGTCCATAGTAACTGCATCTGCAAATGCCATCACAGCCACCTGCAGACAAAGTCACCAGGTAGTGATACCTTTCCAAATGATGCACGTAACCGAACATCTCATACACGTAAAATGTATTTAAAAATCTACCTGCTGCCGGGCACTGGTGGTGCACACCTTTAATCCCAGCAACCAGGAGGCAGAGGCAGAGGCAGAGGCAGAGGCAGAGGCAGAGGCAGAGGCAGAGGCAGAGGCAGAGGCAGAGGCAGAGGCAGAGGCAGAGGCAGAGGCAGAGGAGGCAGAGGCAGAGGAGGCAGAGGCAGAGGAGGCAGAGGCAGAGGCAGAGGCAGAGGGGCAGAGGCAGAGGCAGAGGCAGAGGCAGAGGCAGAGGCAGAGGCAGAGGCAGAGGCAGAGGCAGAGGCAGAGGCAGAGGCAGAGGCAGAGGCAGAGGCAGAGGCAGAGGCAGGCAGATCTCTGTGAGTTTGAGGCCAGCCTGGTCTACAGAGCGAGTGGCAGGATAGGCTCAAAAGCTACACAGAGAAACCCTTGTAACAACCCCCCCCCCCAAAAAACAAAAACAAACAAAAAACTACCTAGTTTTATTCACAATTTTGCCTAATGAAAAGCAGCTTACTTTTATTGTTTTTTTAGATTTTTCATGTGTTTAAAATTTTTGTTTGTGGGTGTGGGTGTGCCACAGTGTGAGTGTAGTGTTTAGAAGGCACCTTTGTGGACTTGGCTCTCTTCTTCCACCTTTCTGTAGGGCCCAGGGATTGAAACTGGATTATCAGACTCAGAGGTCAGAAGAGAGCATCAGATCCCTTGGAAATGCAGTTGTGAGCCACCACGTGGGGGCTGGGAATTGAACCCAGGTCCTCTGCAAGAGTAATAACAGCTGAGCCTTCTCTCTAGACCCACTCAGCCCATTTTTAAGTGAGCTGTAACTTTAAGAATTCTTCATAGGGACTGGAAAGATAGCTCAGCAATTAAGAGCAGCAACTGTTTATTCAAGGTACCTGGGTTCAATACCCAGTACCACATGACAGCTCAAAACTATAACTCCAGTTCCAGGGTATCTGACACTATCATACAGACATACACACTGGCAAAAGACCAATGCATATAAAATAAAAATAAATTTTTTAAAATTTCTTCATATATTCCTTATCACACATATAATTTCTAATGCCATCTGTAGCATACTCTTTGCACTTTTTTGGTGACATAGGTTTCTTATTTGGATGAAATCCAAAGAGAGGCAATGAAGCCTTTTCCCCCGCCTCTTGCTGCGTATGGTCTTTGTATCACATCTAGGAAGATGTTGCCAAATTCAATGCCTTAAAGAGTAATTTCTGGGCCTGGAGAGATGGCTCAGAGGTTAAGAACACTGGCTGCACTTCCAGAGGTTCTGAGTTTGATTCCCAGCAACCACATGGTGGCTCACATCCATCTATGATGAGATCTGGTGCCCTCTTCTGGTGTGCAGACATACACGCCAGCAGAACACTGTATACACATAGTAAGTAAATAAATCTTTTTTTAAAAAAAGATCATTTCTGAGCCAAGTGGTGGTGGAGCATGCCTTTAATCCCAGCACTTTGGAGGCAAAGGGAGCTCTGTGAGTTTGAGGCCAGCCTGGTCTACAAAGCTACACAGAGAAACACTGTCTCAAAAAACCAAAACCAACCAAACAGAAAGAATCATTTCTGTGTTCCTCATAAGCTCATTTTCATCATTATTTTCATTTTATGATTATGGGTGTTTTGCCTGTATGTGTGTCTGTGTACTGTGTGCACGCTGTGCCTACAGAGGCCAGAAGAGGCAGTAGATCCCCTGGAAGTGTAGTCATAGATGGTTGTGAGCTGCTCTATGGGTGTTGCGAACTAAACTGGGGTCCTCTGAAGAGCAGCCAGTGCTATCAACCACTAAACCCTCTCTCTAATCCATTGCATGAGTTTAGAGCTTTAGCTATTACATTTAGTTCTATGATCCATTGTGAATAAATTTTATGAATAGTGCAAAAGCAACTTTATTTAAAAAAATAGTTATAAGGTTGCGTCACTGTCTGACTTAAATTTTTCTTTTACATTTAACATTCCTTAGCATCTTTTGAAAATCAGTTGGCCATAAGTTTAACATGTTTTTTAGAATTGTAGTCATTTTGTTCCATTTATCTAGATGTCAGTCATTGAGCTAGCCCCGTTATGTCCTGGTTACTTATAGCATTATTGTGAGTTTTAATATCTATAAATTTCAAGCCTGTGTCTGTTTGCATTATTCTAAGACCTGGTGTTGCTATGTAGCACTGGCTGACTTTCAACTCATGATCCTCTTGACTCTGGCTCCCATAGGATGTATTACCACATCCAAGCTGTATATCTGCCACTTTTAATTTTAGGCATACTTAATTTCCTCGATTTCAGTTGTCTTATTCTGTTCAATAATGATATAAAAATACATCGTTGAAGTTATAAAAAGAATATGTTCTCACATGGTAGAGAGAAATGTATTGGTCTGAAGTCACAGAAGGAAGTAGTCGCCATTATCATATTTTAACTCATTGAATCCACCAAGGACAGCTTGCCTTAAAGAACACACTTCTGCCGGTCAGTAAGGGACAGCTCTTCTTAAAGCCAGCCACTGGGGAAACACTCACTCTATATGAGGTTGTAGAGAACAGATTCCCTTGTCAAAAAATTCGGGAAATTGTTGCTATGTTATCTCCTTCTTGGAGGTTCCCTGTGCCTCTGTCTCAGGTCTGGTTTCCTGAGAAAGACTGGGATAAATAGATGCCTTTGCACAGGTGGGGTGCTAGGCAGCGTGCCCTTTGAAACACCTACTGTGCGTGTTTGCAGGACAAGCACTGTGTGCTTCAAACCCCGGAGTGCTCCTGGGCAGGAGAGCCACGAGGTCAATACGCTTGCCAAGGAGACTCCAGCTGACCCCACAAAAGGCTCCGGAGCCTTTCAGAGTTGCCCTGCACTGAGCCAAGAGGGATCCTATTTCTGTCGCGACACAGGCTGTGCCAGGTATGAGAGGCAGAAGCATGGGCAGTAATGCTTCATTCTGCCAGGACAGCTCTCAGAAATGGATAGAGTTTTAATGAATTGTCATCAAGCAATTATGTCCATCCTTCAACTGGGAGAGTGAATAACCCGCTGGGGCGGGATGGAGGGAGGGGCGCGGGCTTGTACAGAAGAGCACTAGTGAGAAACACTTTGGGTTCGCCATGGTTTAATCTGAATTAATTTTGGTTTTGTACATTTAGAAACTTAGAAACCTTTTTCTGCTGTTATACAGGGTTGTGACCCAAGGCTTAAGAGCTGTAACCTAGCCCCATTCCTTCCCCAGAGATTGGATGACTGAAATGTCCAGTTTTCTAACCGTGCCTGGCCTGCCCCTGACACCTGTCAGAATACATTCAGGCAGGCACCTGGCCAGACCAGGTGCAAAGGAACCCTTTAAAAGAAAGACTTGAGCTGGGCGTTGGTGGCGCACGCCTTTCATCCCAGCACTTGGGAGGCAGAGGCAGGCGGATCTCTGTGAGTTCGAGGCTGGGCTGGACCGACAGCCTCCAAAACAATACAGAGAAACCCTGTCTCGTAAAAACCAAAAAAAAAAAAAAAAAAAAAGACTTGAGCTCTTTCTTTCTTTTTTTAAAGGTTTTTGAGACAGGGCTTCTCTGTATTTTGGAGGCTGTCCTGGAACTCGCTCTGTAGACTAGGCTGGTCTCGAACTCACAGAGATCCGCCTGCCGCTGCCTCTTGAGTGCTGGGATTAAAGGCGTGCGCCACCACCGCTGGGCATTGAGCTCTCTTTCCGGCTCCTCTCTTCCCAGCTCTTTCTGCTTTCTCTTTCCACTTTCTTTCCCTATCTTTCCTGCTGTTCCCCTGGGGCAGACAGGACTTTTCCTGTCTCCCTCTGATCTTCTGTCCTATCTCTGTCTCTTTGTTTCTTTATCTCTTTCTCCCCCACCCCCACCCCACTTGCCTTTCCTGCCTTGGAATCCTCCAAGGTCCCACTCAAGCTTTATCATAACAGTGTCTGTTCTTTCTCCTAACCGGCCTGAATCATTGTGTTCCTCCCCAAAGGCAGAGGTCACTTCATTAACACAACTAAGACAGTCCCTTCCTACCACTCAGGAAACTCCAAAGGCTTTTGAAATACAGGGCAGAATTGGAAACCAAAATCCAAATAATATTCCTTATTATCCTCTAAATTCTCCAGCTCATTATCATGCTAATTTTCTGAGCTATTTTGTGTTGTCTTTTTTTAAATGATTTGCTTGTTTTACCTGTTAACTACTCCTTCATGTGACCCCCAAACCCCATTTTATGGCCCCTACTTCCTCCTAGATACACAAATTCCACCTTGAAAGGACACTTCCTCTATTTCTCTTCACTCCTGAATGTCCGGATCTGGGTTACAGGGCGGACCACCTGATTTGTATGTTTTATGGTGTTCCTCGCTTCAGTGTATTAAGAATCCCAAGGCAGCCAGGCCTGGGTCCTGCAGGTGCAGATCAAAAGCCCGGAAAGCCAGGTCTTGCAATGTAATTGCTCCAGTCTTGTCTTGGCTCAGAATTCAGAAGGGCACGGAGCCAGGCTCACTGGTTACCATTCTTTCCTTCCCCCTGGGCCCTCCCATATAACACGTCACACACAGCTTTTGGAATCTTCTCACTCCAGCTTGTCTACACCTCCATATCTCTGTGCTAGCCTCCCTAGCACGGGCTGTCATCACCTCTCACCCAGAAGATTGCCTCCACCCCTCTGCCTTCTATCTGGCTCCTTGTAAAGGCAGGGGATGGCTTCTAAATGCCAATCCCATAGTCATTCCTCCTGCCCGTCCCCAGGGGCCCCTTTGCCCTTGTGAACAGCACCCATCCACCCAGGTGTCCTTGGGGGTAAAGTTCGAATACCTTCACAAAACATGGCCCATAAGGCATCCTGCTTACTTTTCTCTTCCCAGCTCTTCACTGGGATCCTTCCCATCCTGGTGGCCAGAGTGTCTCCTCTGTCCTTGTGTACTAGAAGCTAAGGCTCTTAAGTACAGGGACAGACCTGTTAACACAAATCCAGGGCAGGCAGGATGAGTAGAATTTGTGGGAAATAGGAGCAGTTGTGCAGAGGACCTGAACCGGCTGGGGTGGTGTGACCACAGCGGGGCAGGAGAGAGGGTAACTCCTGAAACCAGTCTGCCGGGATGCTCGGTTTCACCTCAGTCTCTGTAGAATAGAGACAATAGTAACGCGCCTTGGTGCCTTGCTTACCTTAAGGACCAAATGAGTCTTGGACAAAAACACACGGAAATCTGGTGGGCAGCAGCAAGCATTGTGGAATCATCGCCAGCAGAGTTCCAGGTACTTCCTGCCCTCCTTCCCTCAAGCTCCAGGCATCCGTTACATGACAAGTAGGGCTTACAAAAGACTACGTATTGGTCTCCCCCTGATACTCAAATTTGTCTGCTACTCCATCTCCTGAAAGACTGCAAACTCTCTTAGAGAACCTGATAGTCCCAGAACACCACAGCAGTCTGCTAGGCACAAGTCATTGCTGTCTGTAGGGGAGCATCATAACTTGGATCTAACACCTTACAATCTGAGCAAACAGTAGAAACACAAGCAGCCTGGGCTGTGCTGTTCTGGGGGATGTCTAGGAAAGGGTCTTGCACCGAAGCCTGGGCCCATGCTGTATCCAGGCATGTACAAGGCTTAAAGTATAAAGGCTTGAAGCTTGATGCTACTGAGGACTGTGCCCTCTGTAATTCCAATTCTTGCATTTCTTTTTAAAATTCTGTCTGCAGCTGACAGTGGTGGCGCACGCCTTTGATCCTAGCACTCTAGAGGCAGAGGCAGGTGGATTTCTTTGAGTTCAAGGACAGGCTGGTTTACATAGTAGATCCCAGGACAGCCATAGCTACACAGTGAGACCCTGTCTCAAAATAAATAAATAGATTCTTTCTGCTGCTGGACCTGGTGGTGCTTGCTTAGGACCCCAGCATGCTTGGGGTGAAAGCAGAAGGATGGAGGGTCTAAACAAGGTCAGCCTGGGTTACATGAGACCCTATCCTAAACAAAAAACTGCACTATATACATTTTGTGATGGAAACTATACATTAACTTCATTTGTTGTCTGTCCCAAGGCAGGGTTTCTCTGTGTTGCTCTGGCTATCCTGGAACTCTGTAGACCAGGCTGTCTCGAACTCACAGAGATGTGCCTGCCTCTGCTTCCTAGTGCTGGGATTAAAGATGCGCACCACTACTGCCTAACCATTCATTGTCCTTCTACACTGTACATTTACTTCTATACAGATAGAACTACCTGTCTTCTAGATAAATTTTTTCTAGGAGTAAGCTGGGCATGGCAGTACATAACCCCAGCTACACAGACACCCTGTCTCAAAAGATAAACATATATTTAATATACTTTATATATTTATGTAATTATATACTTGTATAATATATTTATGCATATATTTATTATAAATCATATACTTATATTTATATATTATATTGTATTAATTATATTTAGGTATATTTATCATATATATATTTATATATGTATACATATTATATATCACATGTACTATTTATCATATATTATGTATTTATTATATTTATATAATTATCTTTGCTATATTATATATTTATTATATGTAATTATCATGTTTAACTATATATTATATATTTATGTTCATTATAGAACATATTATATATATTACAACTGCACTACAGTTACTTCTGCATTTTTCACAGTTTTTCAAAAGATTACTTTTATTTTGATTTGTGTATGTGTGTGTGCAGGTGCCCAAAGAGGCCAGAGGGCATGGGCTCTTCTAGAGCTCAAGCTACAAGCATCTGGGTCCTGAGAACCCAAGTCAGGCATTCTCTGCCAGAGCGTCAATGCTCTTAGCTGCTGAGCAACCTCTCAAGCTCCATCCTCCTCCCTCCATTTTCCATGAGTTTAAAGTAACTCGGTCAAAACTTGTGAGCATGTCATCTCAACACTCAGGAGCTTGGAAAAGGATTGCTGTAAACTTAAGAGTAGCCAGAACTTAGTGAGTTCTAGGCCACCCTGGGCTGTCTCAAAATATAAGTAAAATAAATCTAACTTATTGGGCAATATACTTAAAGAGTAATTATGAAACGCAGAATTCCACGTCCTACAATACCAGGCATAATTATCTAAAGGCATAAGGCATCTTGGCAGGTTGGAGCCAAGGGGCGCCACAAAGTCACACCATGCAACAGAGCTCCTTTGGGAGGTTTATTGGCTGGGGGAGGATGCAGAGAACCCTCTGAGAGAGAGGCCAGGACCTGGCCAAATAGGTGTGAACTGTCCCAGAACCCCTGGAGTAGGACAGTCCAGATGAAATCCAAAATGTTTTGTGGCTCGGTTGTGGGGGGGATAGAGAAGGCGACCTTGAGGTCCAAGACTGAAGTGGGATCATTGCAGAACTGATAAGCCGGACTCTGGGTTTGGGTGAGGTACCCAGCAGGATCCTATAATTGAATGACGATGGGCCAGTGTTATTTAACAACAGAGGGATTTGGGGTATCCCAGACTTGGGAATCTACCTGGGAGGCTGGCAAAGGAAATGACATGTTACAACTTGTAGGTTGGGTGTCTAGGAGGAGGAAGGGGGTTTCTGGTGAGTTTGGGGTCAGAGAAATTGGGGGAGTAAGGGGAACAGAGGCTCCCACTGGCTAGTAATGGGACAAGACAGGTTGGCACTACCATGGGGAATGAGTGAAATATCCCTGAAAATACAGTTGAGTGATAGGGTCTGGTGAGGTTGGAAACGCTGTCCTCCTACCCCCACAATAGGGAAACGAGGAGAGATGGGTCCCCAAAATCCCATCGGAACCAAGTAAGTGGTCCCGGTGTCCAGGAGGAAGAATACAGAAGAATAGCGACTCCCCAGGGCTCTTCCCTGTCAGATATGACAGTGGTCAGACCAAGGGAACACAGGCCCCTCAGTCATCCATGACCAAAGGTTGGCTGGAGGGCAGTCTGAGTCTGATGTC